TTTGGTCTGAATCCTAATTTTATGTCTTTTAATGAGGAGTTTTTGATGTCCTCATAAAGAGGAAACCTCAAATGATTTGAATATTGAGATTTCCCAGCTGAAAAGAAACAAAACTTTGCTAACTCACAGGGAAAATCTCAAAATTTTAAGGCATTTCTCCTCAAAATCAGTTTTTTGTTGCTACTGCTCAAAGAAATGCCTCAAAATTTTGTTTTATGATTAAATTTCAGACAGTTCATTCAAATGATACATTGATAAGGCATTTATTTATTATGTTTTGATTCAAAACACTATATTTGCCTAGTTCTCCATATCCCACTTTGGGACTTAATCCCCGTTTCGATGTGATGGGTCACATTTCAGTTAGTTTTGTAAAAAGATCATACAGTTTTAGTTAGTTATCATTTTTCACTTTATTACAGTTTTTATTTATTTTAGTTAACTAAAATGATTTTTCAGTTTCAGTTTTTTTAGTTAGTTTTAATTAACTATAATAACCCTGCCACTCAGAGCACTGTTAACCCTGGAACACATGGCAGGCAGTGGGCCAGCTGGGGAAAATAAAATCCAAACCTTGCGCTACAAAGCCTCCAGTCCTCTCTGCGGTGAGGGTTTTAAATGATAGGTGTGCGCACACAACAACACCCTTCCTCTGCTGTTAAACAGGAGGTCAAACAAACAAATGATTTTATCTGCGGCCGCCCTCAACTCTCCATAAATCCCCCCTTTATGTGTGAGGTGCCCTCTTAACCCTCGCTGCAACTCCTCTCCCAGCATGCTTTGAGTTTATCTCTCAGGCTAACACAACCCAGCGATTATTAACGCTCTTTCTGATTAATGAGATAAACTGCTAACACAGATACTGGAAGTCACTGCTGCTAATTTAGGGTGAGTTCTTTACACCCAGCGTTTTTGTTTTTTTATGATGAATCAGGCTGAAGGTTGAAGATAAATATTGTATATTAGAGGCCATAAAACTCAGCCTGAGTGCTTTTATAAACACTTGGAGGAAGTGTTTTAACTGGAGGCAGCTTGCCCTGCCACACTGTCCATTAGGCTCTTTGTTGCACGTCTCCCACTGCTGGAGCATTTATTATTCAAGCACCGTGTAACAACTGCATCGGCTCTAAACATCCTGTCAATGAAAGTGTCACTTTGGGTTTTGTTACCAGCAGAGATGATGTTCAGTATCTTTTTTTGTTAAATAACCTTTTCATAAGAAAACTCTGTGAAACACCTGGAGCAGGAGGAGTAGTGCTACACTTGGCCAGCCTCACCACGTCACACTCCAGCTACACTTATTAGGACGTGTAATCCCTCAGCTTCAGCTCAGCCTGTCACATCCAGCAGTCCCGCTGACCTCAGCGCTGCTTTAATCAAACAGGAGATTCATCTCTTCCCCCACATCCCATTTCCAACATACTCCCTAAACTTCTCCCCCCCAAACCCCACCTCCCTGAAGCAACATGTCTCTGTCATCGCCACAGAACTCCTCTTTCACCTACTTTCCCTGTCCACTCTCCTCAGAGCTTTTCGGTCTGGGCTACATCAGTAGGCAGAGGGGCAGTTCCTCCACACTCCATTACCCCCTGCCCCAACACCCCCACCCCGATCAGCTCATTATAGCACCTAAACACCCACTTCCTGTTTGACTACAGCCAGGGAGAAGCATTAGAGGAGTAAAAGAAGGAAAAGCAGGAGAAACCTTTTCCCCCTTGTCTAAAGGAAGACTTGATAAGTGGATCATGTGGACCTGCAGACTGTTGAACTTATTTAAACTCTGCAGTTTTACATCACCCAAAGTGTGACATACTGACATTCATGCCTTGTAATAAAAGTGATGAAGACATAAATGTTTGCTATAATATATGGTACTGTTATCACATGCATGTGATAACAGTACCATATATTATAGCAAACATTTATGTCTTCATCTCTACATTTAACTTTTATATAAAGTTTTACATATATACATATATTTTACATTACATATATACATTATAAATATGATGAATATGTATGATAAATGCAGAGTTGTAAAGTAACTAAGTACAAATACTTTGTTACTGTACTTTACTTGAACTTTTGAACTTTACTTGAGTAATTATTTTTCAGGAGATTTAAGAGAGAGGAACTCTAATACACTTGCTGGTGTTTCTAACAATATTTTATTAAGCTTAAATTAGTTTTTTTTATTATAGACTTAATTTGTTGATATTCTAAGAAATGTTTCTTATCAATACCATATTGTATTGTTAGTTTATTGACTGGAATAAAGTCTACACCTTCATATATATATATTCCAGGTATTCAATTCCTTTACCTCTCCAATCAGGGAAGTCTAACATATTATTTTGTTTTAGTACGTCAGGATTGTTCCAGATGGGTGTTTGTTTACATGTGATTAGTGAAGATTTTGTCATTTTCAGAAACTCCCACCAAGCTGTCAGTGATGAGCTGATATTGATGCTTTTAAAGCAAACATGTCGCTTTATATTTGTGCTAACAAATGGAAGGTTTGAAATATTAATGTTATGGCATAATGTTTGTTCTGTATCTAACCAAGTTATATCTAGTGCGGTAGGATATAACCATTGGAAATGTATAGAAGCCTATTAGCTAAGAAGTAGCAATAGAAGTTTGGAAGCTGTAGCTCTCCTGTATCTTTAGTTTTCTGTAGTGATTTTAAGCTAATGCGTGGGGTTTTATCTTTCCAAATGAATTTAGAGATAAAGGAGTCCAAGGACTTTAGTTTTTCAGCTTACTTTTTACTCTTACTCATTACATTTTTGCAGAATTATCTGTACTTTCTACTCACTACATTTTTTAAAAAGTTAAAAAGTAGAAAGTCGTTTCTCCTGTTTTATTCCAAGTTGTTATTATTTAAAAAATACTATCGTGATAAATTGTGTCTCCTGGATAGGGTGAATTTAATTGTTGTTGGATGAGAAGTATAAATATATACCATTCTGACACACCATTAGCTTGTACACAACCCATCACAGCTGCACGCTGTTAGAAAATATATTTTTTTGGAGAAGTCACCTCCCAATAAATGTCATTTTGGAAAATCTAACTGCTCACTTTTACTCAGTACTTTTACTTTTAATACCAAAGTAGATTTTGGGTCAGAAATTTACTTTTGATGCTTAAGTACAAAAAATATCAGATACTTTAAGACTTTTACTCAAGTAATGTTTTTAGAGAAGACTTTAACTTTTACCAAAGTACTTTTATGATAAGATACTTGTACTTTTACTCAAGTATCACTTCGAGGTACTTTACACAACACTGGATAAATGTGCTGTTTTGAGGCTGTTTTCATGTATTGTCGATAAAGTTTGATCAACAACACTTTTTTACGCGGATTGTTAAAAATCAGCCAATGACCTGAAATTTAATTTATTTGTTTGTCTCTGCTTCCTAAAYATAAAAGTTTAATATCTATACGCATTTTAAAACAAGATTTTGAGAGGATAAAAAAATAAAAAAGTAAAACAAGCAAGGGTTTCATGTAATTTAGTTGTGGAAAYTAATACAGAACTCTTATGTCTGTGCAAAGGTTATTAAAGACAAATGCACTTTAAAGTATGAGTTATTCATATTTTCGCTCTAAAAGTAACCTTTATATCTAACTGATACAATAAAATTAAGATTGTCTGAGATTTGACCCATTTCCCAGATAAAGGAAACTTTGTTCTTTTAAAGGTTATTATAGCATTTTTTGTTGATTTCCAMTTGAAAGTCAATTATAAGAACACTGTGCTGCTCACTATGTGCCTTTCAATCAGCTTTGATTTGTGGGGACATGTTGATTATTTAAAAAAAATGACCTAACTAAGCAGTCGACCAATCAGTCTCCTGCTAATCTTCATAAAAATTAAGGATATTTAGAATAAAATGACAGAAAATATGAGTTCCCTCTCTATCCTATGATATTATGTTGCATCATGATGTTTAGTTGACAAATTAAACTAAAACACAACTAAATCAAAGCCATAAACAGTGTCTGGAAATCATTCCTTGTTACCTTGCCAGTAAAAGCTCCCCGGTCCTCCAACAACCAGCCTTCCTTCCTGGAACAAAAAAATGATTTGTCACGATTCGTTAATGTGTGTGACTCTGCTGTAACGAGCAGAGCCTTGTGGGTGCACATCTGATTTCTGTCGACGTCCTGCTGAGACGGACAGTTTCCTGTACAGCAGGGTCGAGTTGGACCGTGGGCCAGAGGTGAAGGTTCAAATGAACCAGACAGTGAAAAATAGTGTGCACGTCAGTCGTGTTAAGAGGCGATGGGTCACTTTGGGASCAAAAGGGGCTCCTCCAGGGACAAACCCTCTGTCATCTGCCCAGTGTTCATAAATCTCTGACGGCAGGCGTACATTTTCAACTTCACCGTGTTGTTTCTATACTGACGGCATGCTGCTRCAGTTCTTACCTTGGTGAAATCCACGCTGAAACCGGCCTGGCAGAATCCCTGCCCCTCTGGGTCCGGATCAGCTAAAAGCAAGACAGGCACATACAAACACATGAGCTGTTTTAAACCACTATAGCTGGCATTTGATTTGTTTTAAAGGGATCTGTGATTAGTTGTAACATAGACTTTACTTGATAAACATATTTTAACTGTAAAACAAAGACTGTAAAAATACTGTAGGATGTTCAGTTTTTTATCATTTTAAAACTAAAATTTAAAACTATATTACACAGATGGGGCCATTTTATTTACACACAAAGCATTCTGGGTAAATGATGACATGGATAGGTCCTTGGTGTGAGTGAACTATATCCACCGAGGAGGATGGAGGACAACAGAGCTGCTTCATTGAAGAAGAACCTCAGCTTAGCCTGTTATCCTTTGCGCTAGCACTGATGCTATATTGCCTTATATGTATTAGATTGGCGCTAGTGCAACAAACAAGCTAAACTGAGGTTCTTCTTCCATGAAGCAGCTCTGTTGTCCTCCATCCATATTTTCAGTTAC